TATCGTATCTACATTTGCACACCGTTTATAGAAATATCGTATCTATATTTGCACACCGTTTATAGAAATATCGTATCTACATTTGCACACCGTTTATGGAACTATCGTATCTACATTTGCACACCGTTTATAGAAATATCGTATCTACATTTGCACACCGTTTATGGAACTATCGTATCTACATTTGCACACCGTTTATAGAAATATCGTATCTACATTTGCACATCGTTTATGGAACTATCGTATCTACATTTGCACACCGTTTATAGAAATATCGTATCTACATTTGCACATCGTTTATGGAACTATCGTATCTACATTTGTACACAGCATTTTCGACATTTTGTTTTTCCTTTATTGACTGTCAGATGCTACAGTCTCTCAAATATTTCATTTTTCTTGGAACTAATTTCTTTCGTACAAATTTCCGGAGTCGCTTTTGACCGCTTCAGTCTCATATGGTAACCATTGTTCCTACAAACACCTGTTACATGAGACAGCCCGTGATGTCACTGACCTTTTCACAATGAAACAGTTCAAAGTGTAACTGACCTTTTCACCAACACCTGTCACATAAATCAGTTCATGATGTAACTGACCTTATCACAAACACCAGTCACATGAAACAGTTCATGATTTAACTGACCTTTTCACAAACCCCTGTCACATGAATCAGTTCATGATATCACTGACCTTTTCACAAACACCTGTTACATGAAACATTTCATGATTTAACTGACCTTATCACAAACCCCTGTCACATGAATCAGTTCATGATGTCACTGACCTTTTCACAAACACCTGTTACATGAAACAGTTCATGTGTTCAAACCCCTGTCACATGAATCAGTTCATGATGTCACTGACCTTTTCACAAACACCTGTTACATGAAACAGTTCATGATGTAACTGACCTTTTCACAAACACCTGTCACATGAAACAGTTCATGATGTCACTGACCTTTTCACATACACCTGTTACATGAAACAGTTCATGTGTTCAAACCCCTGTCACATGAATCAGTTCATGATGTCACTGACCTTTTCACAAACACCTGTTACATGAAACAGTTCATGATGTAACTGACCTTTTCACAAACACCTGTTACATGAAACAGTTCATGATGTCACTGACCTTTTCACAAACACCTGTTACATGAAACAGTTCATGTGTTCAAACACCTGTCACATGAAACAGTTCATGATTTCACTGACCTTTTCACAAAAACCTGTTAAAAGAAACAGTTCATGGTGTAACTGACCTTTTTACGAACACCTGTTACATGAAACAGTTCATGATGTCACTGACCTTTTCACAAACACCAGTCACATGAAACAGTTCATGATTTAACTGACCTTTTCACAAACCCCTGTCACATGAATCAGTTCATGATATCACTGACCTTTTCACAAACACCTGTTACATGAAACATTTCATGATTTAACTGACCTTATCACAAACCCCTGTCACATGAATCAGTTCATGATGTCACTGACCTTTTCACAAACACCTGTTACATGAAACAGTTCATGTGTTCAAACCCCTGTCACATGAATCAGTTCATGATGTCACTGACCTTTTCACAAACACCTGTTACATGAAACAGTTCATGATGTAACTGACCTTTTCACAAACACCTGTTACATGAAACAGTTCATGATGTCACTGACCTTTTCACAAACACCTGTTACATGAAACAGTTCATGTGTTCAAACCCTTGTCACATGAATCAGTTCATGATGTCACTGACCTTTTCACAAACACCTTTACATGAAACAGTTCATGTGTTCAAACACCTGTAACATGAAACAGTTCATGATTTCACTGACCTTTTCACAAAAACCTGTTAAAAGAAACAGTTCATGGTGTAACTGACCTTTTTACGAACACCTGTTACATGAAACAGTTCATGATGTAACACAAAAACCTGTTACAAGAAACAGTTCATGATGTCACTGACCTTTTCACAAACACCTGTCACATGAAACAGTTCATGATGTAACACAAGAACCTGTTAAAAGAAACAGTTCATGATGTAACTGACCTTTTCACAAACACCTGTTACATGAAACAGTTCATGATGTAACACAAAAACCTGTTACAAGAAACAGTTCATGATGTAACTGACCTTTTAACAAACACATGTCACATGAAATAGTTCATGATGCAACACAAGCACGTGTTACATGAAACAGTTCATAATGTAACTGATCTCTTCTGTTGTTACTGTTCAGGATCATGACCCTAAAGATATCCCAGCGAACGTTATTTTTAAGCTACGCTAATCTCGCATATCTTTCTTTCAGTTTGGGACGTTAAAAATTAACATTGTCCATAGATGGGCCGGTCCGCAATTTTTCAGGCGTGTTGGCACCTGAATGACGGTAATCTAATCACCATCAGAGATTGACATTGAACGGCTTTCGCGTAATGAGGTCCAATGTCAACATTCAGTACTTTCATTGTGCATTTTTTGTTCTTTCTTTTTTTTAGCGACATTTGTGTATGTTATTAAAATGAACGCGTGAACTCATTATTTAGGTCAAAAACGCAACCCGACATGAATTTTAAGATACGGCCAAGTCGGGACCTTGAGATCCACGAAATTCGACCTTCACCTGCGTTGGGGGTGGAGGGGGGGGGCAGCATGTCCACCAGTCCAGCAATAAATTCCGTGAATAAAGTAGTGAATTCGGATGCGGAAAATAATGCATTCGGTTTTTATCTATTTCAGGACAAATTTGGAACTTCACATTTGTTCATGGCTGGCTGGCAAAATCTTCGGACGACACTTCCCGTCAAACCATGGAGCTGAAACTTGGTACATAGACTCGTTGCCAATGACTATATTTTCTTTCAAATTTCAAATCGGGTGGCTCTTTAGTATATCAATATAGTTCATAGGCGTGGGAAAAGATGAAAGTGTGCGAGCCTGGGGGGGTTTGGGGGGGGGGGGCACTAATTGGTATTCTTATAAAGTGCGTTACTATTATGAATTTTTTTTTTAAATTTTCAGCCCCCCCCCCCCCCCATATTGCTCAATATTACATTTTTTTAAAGGAATTTTAGGAAAAACTTTTGTTTTTGAGGGTTTGTTGAATAATTGATTTATGTTGTAGAATCCTTTTAGGCTCCTTGGCATGTGCAGTAGTATTAGGGCACTGAACGGGACAGAGTTGAACTTGAAGGTTTGGTCGGGCAGACGTGACTTTCTGGAGCTGTGCTCGTCTTTGAGACTCCTTAACCGATGAGAGTGACGGTAAACTGTGTGGATGTTAAGGGACAGGGACCTGAGCTCAGACCACACCCGACACCATCTCTGACTCCCGGCATGGCTGTCTAATATTAGCTCTTGATATTTTTAAAAGCAAATATAAGCTGAACGTTAAAACTGTGGAGTAAAGAGTAAGGTCGTCAGTCTAAAGTGTGAAGTAAGGAGTAAGGACGACAATCTGCCATGTGGAGTTAAAGAGTAAGGTCGTCAGTCTACAGTGAGGAGTAAAGGGTAAGCACTCAATCTGCAGTGTGGAGTAAAGAGTAAGGACGTCAATATGCAGTGTGGAGTAAAGAGTAAGGACGTCAATCTGCAGTGTGGAGTAAGGAGTAAGGACGTCAATCTGCAGTGTGGATTATAGAGTAAGGACGTCAATCTGCAGTGTGGATTATAGAGTAAGGACGTCAATCTGCAGTGTGGAGTAAGGATGTCAATCTGCCATGAGGAGTTAAATAGTAAGGTCGTCAGTCTACAGTGTGGAGTAAAGAGTAGCACTCAATCTGCAGTGTGGAGTAAAGAGTAAGCACTCAATCTGCAGTGTGGAGTAAAGAGTAAGGACGTCAATCTGCAGTGTGGAGTAAAGAGTAAGGACGTAAATTTGCAGTGTGGAGTAAGGAGTAAGGACGTCAATCTGCAGTGTGGAGTAGGGAGTAAAGATGTCAATCTGTGGTGTGGAGTAAGGAGTAAGGACGTCAATCTGCAGTGTGGAGTAAACAGTAAGGACGTCAATCTGCAGTGTGGAGTAAGGAGTAAGGACTCAATCTGCAGTGTGGAGTAAAGAGTAAGCACTCAATCTGCAGTGTGGAGTAAAGAGTAAGCACTCAATCTGCAGTGTGGAGCAAAGAGTAAGGACGTCAATCTGCAGTGTGGAGTAAAGAGTAAGGACGTAAATTTGCAGTGTGGAGTAAAGAGTAAGGACGTCAATCTGCAGTGTGGAGTAAGGAGTAAGGACGTCAATCTGCAGTGTGGAGTAGGGGGTAAAGATGTCAATCTGTGGTGTGGAGTAAGGAGTAAGGATGTTAATCTGCCATGTGGAGTAAGGAGTAAGGACGTCAATCTGCAGTGTGGAGTAAAGAGTAAGCACTCAATATGCAGTGTGGAGTAAAGAGTAAGCACTCAATATGCAGTGTGGAGTAAAGAGTAAGGACGTCAATCTGCAGTGTGGAGTAAAGAGTAAGGACGTCAATCTGCAGTGTGGAGTAAGGAGTAAGGATGCCAATATGCAGTGTTGAGTAAAGAATAAGGACGTCAATCTGCATTGTGGAGTAAGGACGTCAATCTGCGGTGTGGAGTAAAAACTGGCTGTACACAATGTCATCAAAAACTGGTCGTACACAATGTCTTCAAAAACTGGTCTTTCATGGGAACACAATAAATCGGTCCTAGTTTGTGGCTTCTAAAATAAGACCTAATCAATTCAGAGGTATTTAAATTCTCATACTTCTGAAACACGGCCTCGGAGCCAAGTAGCCTTATGGATAATGTAAAAAGTTCAAATATCATCTCATATAAGAAACGAAACGATAAATGGATCAGAGAAAGGGCAAACTAGTGTCACCTTCACGCTCCATGGTTTACAGGACACCCCTTCCCCCCCCCCGAGTGCCTCTTTCAGTTCACGGGGTCACATATTTGTTTGAGTTACGCCATTCGACTGTGCTAAACCTACTGCTAGAAGACTTGCTGGATATCACGTGGCGTTTTAATCTTCATCGCCATTGGTCAGATCCTTAATAGTGCGCCGCTCGTATGTATAAGGGTTTGGTATAATAGGAGGCCAAAACATTAGGGGTTATCAGAGATTCGGTCTATGGACTATAATAAGATATCAGTTCGTCACCTACCATTCATCAGTTCTTCATTTCGTCGGTTGGAGATCGCTGGCTTGACCTCGGGTGGAAGTTGTTGATGCACGAAGTCTGATAGCATAATGGCTGCCTTGGCCTTACTTGTTCTCTTCTGTGGTAAGTAAGCAATAAAATGCATTTAAAATATGAAGACGTGCTTTTCTTTAGCAACAATTAGAATGCTCATACCAAATATATCATGTTTATATCGATTTTCTGGGATTATTGCGTGCTGAAAGAAAATTATACTTGACTGGGAAAAGATATTAAAAGAATAAGACAACAGAGAGAAAAAATGTCAGATCCTTAAGCTAAGGCAGTGGTCGGCAAACGCACCAGTCAAAAGGGCCCCACAAAATCAGCAGCGGGACGATCAGTCAAAAGGGCCCCCCACAAAATCAGCAGCGGGACGATCAGACAAAAGGGCCCCCCACAAAATCAGCAGCGGGACGATCAGTCAAAAGGGCCCCCCACAAAATCAGCAGCGGGACGATCAGTCAAAAGGGTCCCCCACAAAATCAGCAGCGGGACGATCAGTCAAAAGGGCCCCCCACAAAATCAGCAGCGGGACGATTAAAACTTTGTTGAGAGCCAAATTTCTGTTAAAGAACCTGTCAAGAATCATGTTTTTTGGAGTCACAACCGATGTGTGGCCCACTGGACGAGCCGCACTCGGGTCGCTCAAGAGCCGCATGCGGGCGAGCCGCGATTAGCCAATCACTGAGGTAAGGGTATGCTAAGTCCTCCAGTGGATAGAGAGCAAAATAAGATTAGCTAAATGAATGTGAAAACTAGTTGCCTAGGGGCTGCGCATCCAGGGCTGTTTTAGAAACATCTGGATTTTCGGAGTCTTGAAACTCAAAATCCCGACATCCGGATCTGAGGCGAATTTTTTTTTCATCCATCCCTGTGGCGCTAAGGCCCATGTAAGGCTGTAGCCTGTTTCACTACTTCCATCCACTCAGACCATCCATCCATCCCTGTGGCGCTAAGGCCCATGTAAGGCTGTAGCCTGTTTCACTACTTCCATCCACTCAGACCATCCATCCATCCCTGTGGCGCTAAGGCCCATGTAAGGCTGTAGCCTGTTTCACTACTTCCATCCACTCAGACCATCCATCCATCCCTGTGGCGCTAAGGCCCATGTAAGGCTGTAGCCTGTTTCACTACTTCCATCCACTCAGACCACCCATCCATCCCTGTGGCGCTAAGGCCCATGTAAGGCTGTAGCCTGTTCACTACTTCCATCCACTCAGACCATCCATCCATCCCTGTGGCGCTAAGGCCCATGTAAGGCTGTAGCCTGTTCACTACTTCCATCCACTCAGACCATCCATCTATCCATCCCTGTGGCGCTAAAGCCCATGTAAGGCTGTAGCCTGTTTCACTACTTCCATCCACTCAGACCATCCATCCATCCCTGTGGCGCTACAGCCCACGTAAGGCTGTAGCCTGTTTCACTACTTCCATCCACTCAGACCATCCATCCATCCCTGTGGCGCTACAGCCCATGTAAGGCTGTAGCCTGTTTCACTACTTCCATCCACTCAGACCATCCATCCATCCCTTTGGTGCTAAGCCCATGTAGGGTTGTATCCTGTTTCACTACTTCTTTCCATTTCGACCATCTATCCATCCTTGTGGCGGTACATCCCATGTAAAGATGTAGCCAGCTTCACTACTTCCTTCCTCTCAGACATAACTGATGCTTTTCTGTTCCATGCTTAGATTCCCAGCGGCTGTAGATCTTTTCCCGCTTGATTCATCTATTTAAGCCTAGTTCAGCTTTTGAGTCGTTTTCCTCTTAGGTTTGGGGGATGTACCCTCTTCACTCCTTTGTCATTTGGCATTCTTTCTAAGTTTCCTGCCTAGCGAAGCCTGCCCCTGCTACTAGCAAGGGGTCCTGATATAGACTGTTCAATTCCATGTTGGTTCTCATTCTCCGTCCATATATTTATCATGTGTTGGTCCGTATATTTTCCTAAGATTTTCTCTCACTTGTGTTTAATTGGTCTTCTGCCGTTTCTGTTAGGGTCCAAGTTTCACTTGCTAGATATTTGAATTGTTTCAAAAGTCTGGTTTCTAAATTTAATGGTTTCATCAATCTGTTCTTCTCTTATCATACTCATTCATTTTATTATAATTATTATTTTTAGGTGGTTAACTTCCAGTCCTGCTTGTAGTGATGCGCCTTCTAATTCAAAATGTGTTGCTATTTCATTAATGTAGAGCTCAGCATTAATGAAATACCAGTGCGTACTTTGTGTGGCATGCTAGGTGTGGCGCGGCATGACGCCTCCAAAGGATGAACACATTCCAGAGTTTATGGTCGGCGTCTCAATACTTTTAAAAAGACCATTTGTCGTGTGATATTTTAGACAAAAGAATATTATAGATATACCGTATAATATATAATATTTTTTTTTAAATCTACACATTCCTAATCGAAATATATGAGACGAAGTATATAGAAGCGAGCAGAGATCATAGATATTGTATATTTAGTTGATAATCCCCCCATCATTGAACATTACTGACTTTGAAATGACCACAATTTGCTTGACACCTTGTTTCTTCCAGCGCACTCTTCACTTGCCCAAGTTCACAACCTCGCTCTGACACCGGAACAACTAACGGCCAAAGTGAAAGTGCTGGAGGACATCGCCAACGTGTTGGGGAAACAACTCATACAAAACCAGTTGTTCGTTGAGGAGAGGTAACCCCCCCCCCCAACCCAATTTATTTGCTGACTTACATTTCATTTATTTGTTTGCTTGTTTGTTTATTTGTTGTTTTTGTATGTCTTATTTTTATTGTGTGTGTGTGTGGGGAGGGGGGGAACAATATTTTAATTTAATCCTGCTCTGTTGCCCTATATGGTTACGTAACACACTGAACATCAACAATGCATGCTGATGACGTGTTCATTCTTGACCACAGAATTCGCTCCGATGGCATGTCCGGGGTGAAGAAGGTTCGCCTGTACCGTGAGGGCACCAGTCCTTACTACGCCGACACACACGTGGCGCAGTCCGCCATCGCCATTCACGACCACGCCAACTACGACCGGACGCTGGGAATAGGTAGGTAGTCGACACGCCCCTGGCGTCTTCTTCTAGGTCCCAGGTTGTCTCAACTAAGCCATTCGCGTCTTCCGATCGGTCACACATTAGCTCTAGTGATTACAGAAGACGCGTGTTGGCAATGTAGTTTCAAAGACTTCACCTGCAGCACTGCCGCGATGTTAGCCGATGTACACGACCTCATCTTGTTGTCTCTCCAGTCACAGTTAAAAGTAAAATAGTTCGTTCATCCAGCTGTATGCAGGTCTGGTTAGTTGTGTACAATGACGTAAACTGACCGAGCACAAACGTGAGTACTCTTGAGCCATGGTGGCATTGGTCAGATGACGTCAATGGTAGGCTAAAATTAGCCACGGTTCCGATGGGATCAGATGTATCTGTTAAGATAAGGTTGTGGTTCTGTTGGCATAAAGTGGTCTGTTGGGATAAAGTTGTGGTTCTTTTGGGATAAGGTGGCTCTTTTGGGATCAGATGGCTCTGTTCCGATAAGGTGACTGTGTTGGGATAAGATGGTTCTGATGAGATCAGATGGATCTGTTAAGATAAGGTTGTGGTTCTGTTGGGAAACGATGGTTCTGTTGGGATAAGATGGTTCTGTTGGGATAAGGTGGTCTGTTGGAATAAGGTGGTCTGTTGGAATAAGGTGGTTCTGTAGTACTGACGATCTATTAAGGGAAGCCGGCCACTCGTCTAAGGCCTATACTGTAGTACTGACGATCTAATGCGGGAAGCCGGGCCACTCGTTTGAGGCCAACTCTGTAGTACTGACGATCTAATGCGGGAGGCCGGGCCACTCGTTTGAGGCCAACTCTGTAGTACTGATTTGAGGCCAACTCTGTAGTACTGACGATCACTTTTTGCCAATCTTTAGTATGGTGTGTTTTGTGTCTGTCTGGTGCGACATGTCACGTGCTGTTTTATATTAACTATCGCTTCACCACCGATAGACAGCGACCCAGAACTTAACAGACAGTGACCCAGAACTTAACAGACAGCGACCCAGAACTTAACAGACAGCGACCCAGAACTTAACAGACAGCGACCCAGAACTTAACGACAGCGACCCAGAACTTAACAGACAGCGACCCAGAACTTAAGACAGCGACCCAGAACTTAACAGACAGCGACCCAGAACTTAAGACAGCGACCCAGAACTTAACATATTTAAAAATTATATTTCACATTTAGGTGAATTTATTGGAGTTTTGAATGGTGTCGAGTTCCGAACCCGCCACAACGATTACAAGCTGAAGATGCCATCGACCACCAGCCGCACGTATCACGAAACAGAGGACATCCTGTTTCCATCTGTCCCACCGGAAGTCCTGCACAAAACAACTATCCAGGTACCCGGATCAATCTATTTATAGCCAAAAGAGAGTTCCCGTTAGCCTTGGTTTATTTTATTTGATTTTCTTTAGTTCTTCTATCTATATCTATCTATATCTATGTATATATATATATATATATATTTATGTATATTTATATATATATTATAAATATAAGATAGTTCTCATGGGATCAGTTAATTTTTCTTACTTTTCTCAAACTGAAAAAGAAAATAAAGTACATTTTTTTTAAACTCATCAAAAATGCCGTTTTCTTAAAACTATCGGAAGATCCAAAAGCCAGTGAATTCAATAATCATTCTTAGGGTTAAATTGACTAAATCAAAAGCAAAGATTTAAAAAAATGTTGACATTGCTTTGTGCCCTCGCCTCCAGGAGCAAATCGTCGAGATGCGAGAGTGGTTTAGAGCCTTCAAGGAACAAAACACGACCATCCGCGATTACCGCCCTTACTTCAGACCGTTGCTGTGCGCCCTTGAAGGCGCGTGGACGCTGGCCAAGGACATTGAGGAGTCTTTCCCCAGTGACCGGCATCACCTGGACGCCACGTCTTGGGAGGACATGGCTGAAAAGGTTAGACAGAACGTCACACAATAACACAACCCAGACACACTGCAACACCACGTAGTCACACTCTTACACCCCCTCCCCCCCCCCCAACCAGCGTGTAGTTTGTACTGTCGCTTGTTTAAGCGCCCCCCCCCCCAACACACGCTCTAGCATAAATGACTTTAAACTTAAAAAAAAAAAATTATTATTTTGCTAAAGTGTACAGGAGCTTGGGGAAGAAACATAAACGAAATAGATGAATGACATGTGAGTAAGGCGGGATAATGTGCAAGTCTCACTATCGAATAGTCTCCCTTTGTTTTATGTTATTTTCATTGATATCTTTATTCATAAATGTCAAGAATTAATCAGAAAGTAAATATGAAATAAAGATGGCAGCTTTGTTTTCATGTGTAGCTAGGAGACAAGAGGAAACAACCACATGGTAGACGAAAACCTGTTGGACAATACAAAAACAAAAAAAAGTGGACATTTCGGTTCCTAACTCCAACGACGACAGTGAAGGAACACAGAGACCAACACTCTTAGGAACACAGAGACCAACACACTTAGGAACACAGAGACCAACACTCTTAGGAACACAGAGACCAACACACTTAGGAACACAGAGACCAACACACTTAGGAACACAGAGACCAACACTCTTAGGAACACAGAGACCAACACTCTTAGGAACACAGAGACCAACACACTTAAGAACACAGAGACCAACACACTTAAGAACACAGAGACCAACACTCTTAGGAACACAGAGACCAACACACTTAAGAACACAGAGACCAACACACTTAAGAACACAGAGACCAACACACTTAAGAACACAGAGACCAACACACTTAGGAACACAGAGACCAACACACTTAGGAACACAGAGACCAACACACTTAGGAACACAGAGACCAACACACTTAGGAACACAGAGACCAACACACTTAGGAACACAGAGACCAACACACTTAGGAACACAGAGACCAACACACTTAGGAACACAGAGACCAACACACTTAGGAACACAGAGACCAACACACTTAGGAACACAGAGACCAACACACTTAGGAACACAGAGACCAACACACTTAAGAACACAGAGACCAACACACTTAGGAACACAGAGACCAACACTCTTAGGAACACAGAGACCAACACTCTTAGGAACACAGAGACCAACACTCTTAGCTTGAAGTCAATTGGTCAAGTTACGGACGACCAAATAGCTTTACACCAAGCTAAGAGTGTTGGTCTCTGTTTTTCTTTGCCATCGACGGCTTTTTGGCCGAAACGTCCAATTTTGTCTAGTGTTGTCCTTTTTTTCCAGGTTTTCCCTCTACGCTTTGTATATTTCTTATTGCTTCAGCCCGAACGCAGCCCTGCCCTCTATTTATCGTAGTAAACAGTGCAAAGTATTCTATAACGTTGTAAACAGTGCAAAGTACTTTATAACCTTATAAACCGTGCAAAGTACTCTATAACGTAGTAAACATTGCAAAGTACTCTATAACGTAGTAAACATTGAAAAGTACTCTATAACGTAGTAAACATTGCAAAGTACTCTATAACGTTGTAAACAGTTCAAAGTACTCTCTAACGTGTCACCGTCTTAACTATTCGTTTTAGCCTCTGTTATGATAGCTTTCTTTTTCCGAGTCGGAGATGAGTCGTAATAAGGAAATACTTCATCGCATTTCTGAACCTTCGCATTTCTGAACCTTCGCATTTCTGAACCTTCGCATTTCTGAATCTTCACATTATAGAACCTTTATATTTCTGAGCCTTCATATTTCTGAGCCTTCACGTTTCTGAGTCTTCACGTTTCTGAGTCTTCACGTTTCTGATTCTTCACGTTTCTGAGCCTTCACGTTTCTGAGCCTTCACGTTTCTGAGCCTTCACGTTTCTGATTCTTCACGTTTCTGAGCCATCACAATTCTGAGCCATCACAATTCTGAGCCTTCACATTTCTGAGCCTTCACATTTCTGAGCCTTCACTTTTCTGAACCTTCATATTTCTGAGCCTTCATATTTCTGAGCCTTCTCAAAATTCTGAGCCTTCACATTTCTGAGCATTCACATTTCCGAGCCTTCACTTTTCCGAGCCTTCACATTTCTGAGCCTGCACTTTTCTGAGCCTGCACTTTTCTGAGCCTTACATTTCTGAGCCTTTCCATTTCTGAGCCTTTCCATTTCTGAGCCTTCACAATTCTGAGCCTTCACATTTCTGAGCCTTCACATTTCTGAGCCTTCACATTTCTGAGCCTTCACATTTCTGAGCCTTCACATTTCTGAGCCTTCACATTTCTGAGCCTTCACATTTCTGTACCTTCAGATCAGCTTTACGTCGTACACCGGAAACAAACACAACCTAGAGAACTTCGCCTTCCTGCCATCCAAGCTGTACAGCATGGAGGGGGGTTACCCGCAGTTCGCTCAGTGGAACTATCGCGTCATCTGTCACCCCGTCAGGTAATGCGTCATCTGTCATCCAGTCGGGTAATGCGTCATCTGTCTCCCAGTCAGGTTATTGCGTCACCTGTCATCCAGTCAGGTAATGCATCATTACAACGGGACTTAAACTTGACATTACACATCACCAATGTCGGAGCTAGGATAAGGGCCACTCGGCGCGAGCCAATAGCTTTTTTCCCTTTTTTTCCCCACGAAAAAATACTCTGAAGTTGACTCTGTATAAAGAAAAAAGTGCCCCCCCCCCCGGAGCACCGCCCCCATCATCTCCCTTCCTACGCCAATGACTCTTTGCATCATAGATTATTCCATTAGTGCTCATTTGTCACAATTTAGTGTATTTGATTATATGTTTTAAATGGCCTTTTACACGCTGGCGTGCGTTGGACGGCTTTCCCTTAAAACTGTTCATTCTGGCGTTCACAGCTTTGACGTCCCGACGTCTTACTTCAAGCTGGACGACGACCTGGGCCACAGACTGGCCAATGATCTGACCCTCAAACGGGCCCCTTTCTCTCGGTCGGCCAGGTTTAAAGTCAACGAGTTCGACAGAGAAAGGTAAGCCGCTAGAGAAAAGATGATACGGCTTCTCCCAGTCCGGGCACATGGGTCCAACAGTAGGGCACATGTGTCCAACAGACGGGCACATGTGTCCAACAGACGGGCATGACCCACTATAGTACAGTTCTGGTAGGTCGTGGACAGGACATGACCCACTAGAGTACAGTTCTAGTAGGTCGTGAACAAGACATGACCCACTGGAATACAGTTCTAGTAGGTCGTGGACAGGACATGACCCACTAGAGTACATTTCTAGTAGGTCGTGGACAGGACATGACCCACTGGAGTACAGTTCTAGTAGGTCGTGGACAGGACATGACCCACCAGAATACAGTTCTAGTAGGTCGTGGACAGGACATGACCCACTAGAGTACAGTTCTAGTAGGTCGTGGACAGGACATGACCCACTAGAGTACAGTTCTAGTAGGTCGTGGACAGGACATGACCCACTAGAGTACAGTTACCCCCTTAGCTTCAGGTCTAGTAGGCCGTGCACAGGACATGACCCACTAGAGTACAGTTCTGGTAGGTCGTGGACAGGACATGACCCACTAGAGTACAGTTCAAGTAGGTCGTGGAAGGACATGACCCACCAGAGTACAGTGCTAGTAGGTCGTGGACAGGTCATGACCCACTAAGGTACAGTTCTTGTAGGTCGTGGACAGGACATGACCCACTATAGTACAGTGCTTGTAGGTCGTGGACAGGACATGACCCACTAGAGTACAGTTCTAGTAGGTCGTGGACAGGACATGACCCACTAGAGTACAGTTCTAGTAGGCCGTGGACAGGACATGACCCACTAGAGTACATTTCTAGTAGGCCGTGGACAGGACATGACCCATTAGAGTACAGTGCTAGTAGGTTGTGGACAGGACATGACCCACTAGAGTACAGTTCTAGTAGGTCGTGGACAGGACATGACCCATTAGAGTACAGTGCTAGTAGGTCGTGGACAGGACCAGAGACGGGGTTAGTCTTAAGACTGGCCATTTCGGCATCACTTCCAATAACGTTCGTGAATATTTTTGTTTTTTTTGTTGAAAGCTAAATACCGTGACATGAAACGGTCCGCTGTAGCTACACACTGTGAAATGAAACGGTGCGCTGTAGCTACATACTGTGAAATGAAACGGTCCGCTGTAGCTACACACTGAAATGAAATGGTCCGCTGTAGCTACACACTGTGACATGAAACGGTCCGCTGTAGCTACACACTATGACATAAAACGGTCCGCTGTAGCTACATATTGTGACATAAAACGGTGCGCTGTAGCTACATACTGTGACATGAAACGGTCCGCTGTAGCTACAAACTGTGAAATGAAACGGTGCGCTGTAGCTACATACTGTGAAATGAAACGGTCCGCTGTAGCTACACACTGTGAAATGAAACGGTGCGCTGTAGCTACATACTGTGACATAAAATGGTCCGCTGTAGCTACACACTGTGACATGAAACGGTGCGATGTAGCTACACACTGTGACATGAAACGGTCCGCTGTAGCTACATACTGTGACATGAAACGGTCCGATGTAGCTACATACTGTGACATGAAACGGTCCGCTGTAGCTACATACTGTGACATGAAACGGTCCGCTGTAGCTACACACTGTGACATGAAACGGTGCGATGTAGCTACATACTGTGAAATGAAACGGTCCGCTGTAGCTACATACTGTGAAATGAAACGGTGCGCTGTAGCTACATACTGTGACATGAAACGGTCCGCTGTAGCTACATACTGTGACATGAAACGGTCCGCTGTAGCTACACACTGTGACATGAAACGGTCCGCTGTAGCTACACACTGTGACATGAAACGGTCCGCTGTAGCTACATACTGTGACATGAAACGGTCCGCTGTAGCTACATACTGTGACATGAAACGGTCCGATGTAGCTACATACTGTGACATGAAACGGTCCGCTGTAGCTACATACTGTGACATGAAACGGTCCGATGTAGCTACATACTGTGATATGAAACAGTCCGCTGTAGCTACCTGCTGTGAAATGAAACGGTGCGCTGTAGCTACACACTTTGATACTGTGTCAGATTGCTACGATTTACACAATAATGGTTGTTAATTAACACTAACTGACTTTTTAAAATGTCCTAAAAACAGCATGTTGGCCATGTTTGTCTCATAAAATGCTATAAAATAAGTCTGATTTTAAAACGGGTTTTACCAGTTTAATCAACATACAAATCGACACAAACAATATAAATTCAGGATTAGACTAGACGGTTGAGATTCGACTGAAATCGTCGCGGAGGGTCACATTATAGGAATGAGAATGAGGAAAACGTGTGGGCCGCATTAACACTAAACTCTGTTGTCATATAGCGGGCCGCAAGATATGCCACAAATCTGGTTCAACAGTTGGTTATCAAGGGAAATTTAAGTTACAAAAAAAAAACATCATCATTATCAACATTCTCATTAACTTAATCATCATTATACAGAAGGTCCTGGAGATATGTAAAAAAAAAAATGGCGTCCTTGGCCAACATACTGTCTGGACAGAGTCAAAAGATGACAACTAATGCATGCCATGCGGACAACATACTTTCTGGACAAAGTCAAAAGATGACAACTACTGCATGCCATGCGGACAAGCTTAAATAACAACAGAAATGGCGCCTAACGTAAGGCTGGGTGGGGCGGGGGCTTTGAGTGGTCAGATAACGATATGTCGTCAATGTGAAAGGCAGGGCGTCAAGCACAAGCGTCTTCCTTTGAGAGTATCCGTCTTGTGAGTTATCTAGACCAGCGGTTCTCAACCTGTGGGGGGGGGGGGGCGACCCCTCATATAGGGATCGCCTATAATCATCGGAAAACACATTTATGAAGTATAAACGGAAATTATTTGAAGGNATAACGATATGTCGTCAATGTGAAAGGCAGGGCGTCAAGCACAAGCGTCTTCCTTTGAGAGTATCCGTCTTGTGAGTTATCTAGACCAGCGGTTCTCAACCTGTGGGGGGGGGGGGCGACCCCTCATATAGGGATCGCCTATAATCATCGGAAAACACATTTATGAAGTATCAACGGAAATTATTTGAAGGTTAAGGGTCATCACAACAAGAGGAACTGTATTAAAGGGCCGCGTCATTAGGTAGGTTGAGAATAATTGAAGTAGATGGTAAAAACGATGGGGTGATGCAATGAAGCCTCTATCATGAGTGAGAGGTGACCGAGTGAATGATGATCACTACAGTGGAACCTGTGATACACGCATGGAGTTGTCGCGTGGACATTGGTAACTTTTCTACGGTAGAAAAAATGGCTTGACTCAATGTATCAATAGTCACTTGTCCTTGACCTTCGGCCCCCTCGAGTGAACGGCTGATTGGCGTATGTGCTCCTTGTTTTCGGACATGGGGACAGTTGTAATTAGATTCTAAATGAGGCCGCCTGTTAATGAATTCTGCCTTGACCTCCGTGTTAACAACCATATTGAAATAAACTTTAAAATGGATGATGGATACTGGATCCAGGATGGATGAATATTGCGGGTCCTCACGATTAAATCTTTATAAAAGTGAAAGTCCGTCTTTACTACATCTTGTATAACTTGGTGTCGATCGTGCTTTTAGGGTTGGATACTAGCAGATCTTAGCTTCGTCAAAACTAGTTTATCCGAATACTTATTTATTTGGGGGGGGGGGGCGGGGGCGACACCAGCAGAGTATCTTAGGCCGTGGAAGGTACCAAGTTGTGGTACCACAATATCTCCGTCCCGTCTCCCTACGCCCTTGTAGTTAACCAAGTTGTGGTACCACAATGTCTCCGTCCCGTCTCCCTACGCCCTTGTAGTTTACCAAGTTGTGGTACCACAATATCTCCGTCCCGTCTCCCTACGCCCTTGTAGTTAACCAAGTTGTGGTACCACAATGTCTCCGTCCCGTCTCCCTACGCCCTTGTAGTTTACCAAGTTGTGGTACCACAATATCTCCGTCCCGTCTCCCTACGCCCTTGTAGTTAACCAAGTTGTGGTACCACAATGTCTCCGTCCCGTCTCCCTACGCCCTTGTAGTTTACCAAGTTGTGGTACCACAATATCTCCGTCCCGTCTCCCTACGCCCTTGTAGTTAACCAAGTTGTGGTACCACAATGTCTCCGTCCCGTCTCCCTACGCCCTTGTAGTTTACCAAGTTGTGGTACCACAATATCTCCGTCCCGTCTCCCTACGCCCTTGTAGTTAACCAAGTTGTGGTACCACAATGTCTCCGTCCCGTCTCCCTACGCCCTTGTAGTTTACCAAGTTGTGGTACCACAATATCTCCGTCCCGTCTCCCTACGCCCTTGTAGTTAACCAAGTTGTGGTACCACAATGTCTCCGTCCCGTCTCCCTACGCCCTTGTAGTTTACCAAGTTGTGGTACCACAATATCTCCGTCCCGTCTCCCTNCTCTGCTCTTCCTGGTCCCTTAACCCTCAACCTCCCCCCCCCCTTTTTTTTTTCCTGTCTCCCCAAAAAACTTACCCCCAACTCGCTCAACTATTTACGTGCGCATAGCATAGTATAAATATGTCATTGACGAGCTTGTCAGTTTGATGACGGGTCATCTCAGTTTCATTACCTGGCTACTGATCACGTGTCCTCAAAGGACAAACGATCGCGGGGGCGGTGGTACCCCATGGGGTTTAATGGCGCAATCAAAGTGGCGCCCAGCGGTTTGTTCTCCGTGGCGCGAGTGTCGATACCCAGACGGGTAAGGGAGGGAGGGAGGGGGGAGGGGGATTGTTGACGTAAGGGACGGGTGAGACAGGATCAGTTGGACCAGTTCCTATCCTTAGAAAGAGTGCAAAGCGTTGTCTCGGGTCTGCGGTTTCTCGCCTCGCGGGCATAAACAAAATAGTGAGGAACTCGCAGCGCTGCAGACGGGTCTTTTCCAAACTCCCAAACGTACTCGGTGGGACATTCACGGAGGAGTCCCAGATAAAAATGGTCATAATTAAACAAACTCTAAAAACAAAATTTTCCCCCATAACTCCTTTACACGCATGCTTATTATTTTATTTTATCCTGATATCCCAAATGACCCACCCGCTGTTACTTTTACACCGCAGATGTATTGCATGACTTTCATCAACAGTTGCAGAAAAGACAAAGAAACTATTACAAACCAAATGCACTTCCGATTGTTGTTTTTTGTTAACTAGAATCTCGTTGGGCGCAGTTGTCGGGAATTGTATTTCGTGAAATCGATCACATCGTTGTGTTTTTGGGGGTTGGGCTGAAAATTTGACCGAAGGTGTTGTCAACGGCAACGAGTCTGTGTGTCAGTTCGATAGGATGACGGGAAGTGTGTCAGGTAGTCGTCCGAAGATTTTGCCTTAAACACACGAACAAAAGCGAAGTTAATTGAAGACATTTAAAAAGATCGAACGAGAAAAAGAGTTAAAGACATTTAAAAAAAAAAAAAAAAAAAAAAAAAAAATAAAAAAAAAAATAAAAAAAAAAAAAAAAAAAAAACAATTATATGGGGTACTACCACGAAGGACATAATATTTATTTTCGGAGAGAAAAGAACAGATTGTTTCATATTATTTCCGCTTTCATATCATGTGTGGTTGTCACGGCTTGGCCAAATAAACATGGATTGGATGACGTCACCGTTTATTAAGAGGAAATACATTATTTGGAGTAAAAGTTTAACTATATTTTTTTTTTTTTAACTTTATTATTTTTTTAGGGTCTGTTTTAATAAGCCCTACTTAACTTACTGGAATTGAGTTTAAAAACAACCATCGAACTATCGGGACCAACCCAAATGAAAATAAGAAGGCGGCAACTACGGGCAAGCTACTCTGTTTTACAAAAAAATCTTGGACGTACCCCATACAGTAATGCCATTTTTTGGGGTTCATTACAGACATTGCTTCCAACGTAAAATTTTGCCCTAAAACATAATGCCGCGTTATTAACAGTGATCTAGCTTACAGATTTTTTAAAATATATGTTTAATAATATTTTTAATTTTAGGAGATGGGAGTTGGGAGATGGGAGTTGGGAGATGGGAGATGGGAGATCAGTTTTTTTCTTTTTTCCCCGCACCCCCAATAAACAAAATGATCCAAACTTTGCGCACAATCTCCAACTCTGCTTACTCAACCTTTGAGTACTCAACCTTTGAGTAAAGGCAACGAAAAGATGATAGGAGTGTCCGACTATTGGAGGATACAAAGACGAGAAAGGTACATAAGTTCGGATACAAAGACGAGGAAGACACATAAGTTAGAATAAAAAGATTAGAAAGACACATAAGTTCGGATACAAAGACTAGAAAGACACACAAGTTCGGACACAAAGACGAGAAAGACACATACATTCGGATACAAAGACGAGGAAGAAACATAAGTTAGAATAAAAAGACTATAAAGACACATTAGTTCGGATACAAAGACAAGAAAGACACAAGTTCGGATACAAAGATGAGAAAGACACATTAGTGCGGATACAAAAATGAGAAAGATACATTAGTTCGGACACAAACACGAGAAAGACACATAAGTTAGGATACAAAGACGAGAAAGACACATTAGTTCGGATACAAAGACGAGAAAGACACATTAGTTCGGATACAAAGATAGGAAAGACACATAAGTTAGGATACAAAGATGAGAAACACACATAAGTTCGGATACAAAGACGAGGAAGACACATTAAGTTCCGACACAAAGATGAGAAAGACACATAAGTTCGGATACAAAGACGAGAAAGACACATAAGTTCGGATACAAAGACGAGAAAGACACATAAGTTCGGACACAAACATGAGAAAGACACATAAGTTCGGATACAAAGACGTGAAAGACACATTAGTTCGGATACAAAGACGAGAAAGACACATTAGTTAGGATACAAAGATGAGAAAGACACATTAGTTAGGATACAAAGATGAGAAAGACACATTAGTTCGGATACAAAGACGAGAAAGACACATAAGTTAGGTACAAAGACGAGAAAGACACATTAGTTCGGATACAAAGACGAGAAAGACACATTAGTTCGGACACAAACACGAGAAAGACACATTAGTTCGGACACAAACACGAGAAATACACATAAGTTAGGAAAAAAAGACGAGAAAGACACATTATTTCGGATACAAAGATGAGAAAGACACATCAGTTCGGATAAAAAGATGAGAAAGACACATTAGTTCGGACACAAAGACGAGAAAGACACATAAGTTAGGATACAAAGACGAGAAAGACACATTAGTTCGGATACAAAGATGAGAAAGATACATTAGTTCGGACACAAAGATGAGAAAGACACATAAGTTAGGATACAAAGATGAGAAAGACACATTAGTTCGGATACAAAGATGAAAAAGACAAATAAGTAAGAATACAAAGATGAGAAAGACACATACGATAGCATACAAAGATGAGAAAGACACATTAGTTCGGATACAAAGATGAGAAAGACACATTAGTTCGGACACAAAGACGAGAAAGACACATAAGTTAGGATACAAAGACGAGAAAGACACATTAGTTCGGATACAAAGACGAGAAAGACACATTAGTTCGGATACAAAGATGAGAAAGACACTTTAGTTCGGATACAAAGATGAGAAAGACACATAAGTTCGGATACAAAGATGAGAAAGACACATAAGTTAGGATATAAAGATGAGAAAGACACATTAGTTCGGATACAAAGATGAGAAAGACACATAAGTAAGAATACAAAGATGAAAAAGACACATAAGTTCGAATACAAAGACGAGAAAGACACATACGTTCGGATACATAGACGAGGAAGACACATAAGTTGGGACACAAAGATGAGAAAGACACATAAGTTCGGATACAAAGACGAGAAAGACACATAAGTTCGGATACAAAGACGAGAAAGACACATAAGTTCGGATACAAAGACGAGAAAGACACATTAGTTCGGATACAAAGATGAGAAAGACACATTAGTTCGGATACAAAGACGAGAAAGACACATTAGTTCGGATACAAAGATGAGAAAGACACATTAGTGCGGATACAAAGATGAGAAAGATACATTAGTTCGGACACAAACACGAGAAAGACACATAAGTTAGGATACAAAGACGAGAAAGACACATTAGTTCGGATACAAAGACGAGAAAGACACATTAGTTCGGAAACAAAGACGGGAAAGACACATTAGTTCGGATACAAAGATGAGAAAGACACTAAGTTCGGATACAAAGATGAGAAAGACACATTAGTTCGGATACAAAGATGAGAAAGACACATAAGTTAGGATACAAAGATGAGAAAGACACATTAGTTTGGATACAAAGATGAGAAAGACACATAAGTTCGGATACAAAGATGAGAAAGACACATAAGTTCGGATACAAAGATGAGAAAGACACATTAGTTTGGATACAAAGATGAGAAAGACACATAAGTTAGGATACAAAGATGAGAAAGACACATAAGTTAGGATACAAAGATGAGAAAGACACATAAGTTAGGATACAAAGATGAGAAAGACAAATAAGTTAGGACACAAAGATGAGAAAGACACATTAGTTCGGACACAAAGATTAGAAAGACACATTAGTTCGGACACAAAGATTAGAAAGACACATAAGTTAGGATACAAAGATGAGAAAGACACATAAGTTACGATATAATGACCGGAATTTCTCAGTGGGAATTCAAATCTTGTCTATATTTTTAAACCCTCTTTAGGGGGCGCTCCCTGACTGATATATTTTTAAACCCCCTTTTGGGGACGCTCCCTGTCCGATATATTTTAAACCCCCTTTTGGGGGCGCGCCCTGTCCGATTGACATGAAGAACTTTGTCTATATTGTTAAACCCTCTTTAGGGGGCGCTCCCTGACTGATATATTTTTAAACCCCCTTTTGGGGACGCTCCCTGTCCGATATATTTTAAACCCCCTTTTGGGGGCGCGCCCTGTCCGATTGACATGAAGAACATCACGGGTCGCAGTCCCAGCTGTTTCGTGGGCGGCCATCAGTGGTCAGTGCCCCCTACTCCTTACGTCCACGTGAGTGGTGTGCTCATTAGGGAGACTTTCCTGACACGTCACTGAGCGCTGAATTGATTCGTTAACGCGCAAAGATGTTTGGTACGCGAGGTAAAGAAACAGTGTGGGGGGGCGGGGGGGGGACTGGGGTGGGGGTTGGGGGTTGGTGCCTCGAACATTGAAAGTGGTGGAGGTGGGAGGGGGTGTTTAGAGCCATAAATCAGCGGGGGAAGCGGGTGTTGGCAGAACTTGCACCCAGTGGACAATGGGTTTGGCGTAATGACTTATGAGTAGTGGGAACTGGCAAGACGAGAAAATATCAGGGAATATGGTATTAGTCAAAGTTAAAAAATGGGGAAAGGGATGGTAGTTGAGCTTTAAGAAATGAGCGGGGACAAGTTTTGATGGGTGATCTTTAAGAAATGAGCGGGGACAAGGTTTGTTGGGTGATCTTTAAGAAATGAGTGGGGACAAGGTTTGTTGGGTGATCTTTAAGAAATGAGCGGGGACAAGGTTTCATGGGTAATCTTTAAGAAATGAATGGGGACAAGGTTTGTTGGGTGATCTTTAAGAAATGAGTGGGGACATGGTTTGTTGGGTGATCTTTAAGAAATGAGCGGGGACAAGGTTTGTTGGGTGATCCTTAAGAAATGAGTGGGGACAAGGTTTGTTGGGTGATCTTTAAGAAATGAGTGGGGACAAGGTTTGTTGGGTGATCTTTAAGAAATGAGCGGGGACAAGGTTTGTTGTGTGATCTTTAAGAAATGAGCGGGGACAAGGTTTGTTGGGTGATCTTTAAGAAATGAGTGGGGACAAAATTTGTTGGGTGATCTTTAAGAAATGAGTGGGGACAAGGTTTGTTGGGTGATCTTTAAGAAATGAGCGGGGACAAGATTTGTTGGGTGATCTTTAAGAAATGAGCGGGGGACAAGGTTTGTTGGGTGATGTTTAAGAAATGAGTGGGGAAAAGGTTTGTTGGGTGATCTTTAAGAAATGAGCGGGGGACAAGGTTTGTTGGGTGATCTTTAAGAAATGAGTGGGGACAAGGTTTGTTGGGTGATCTTTAAGAGATGAGTGGGGACAAGGTTTGTTGGGTGATCTTTAAGAAATGAGCGGGGGACAAGGTTTGTTGGGTGATCTTTAAGAAATGAGTGGGGACAAGGTTTGTTGGGTGATCTTTAAGAAATGAGCGGGGACAAGGTTTGTTGGGTGATCTTTAAGAAATGAGTCGGGACAAGGTTTGTTGGGTGATCTTTAAGAAATGAGTGGGGACAAGGTTTGTTGGGTGATCTTTAAGAAATGAGCGGGGGACAAGGTTTGTTGGGTGATCTTTAAGAAATGAGTGGGGACAAGGTTTGTTGGGTGATCTGTAAGAAATGAGTGGGGACAAGGTTTGTTGGGTGATCTGTAAGAAATGAGCGGGGGACAAGGTTTGTTGGGTGATCTTTAAGAAATGAGTGGGGACATGGTTTGTTGGGTGATCTTTAAGAAATGAGCGGGGACAAGGTTTGTTGGGTGATCCTTAAGAAATGAGTGGGGACAAGGTTTGTTGGGTGATCTTTAAGAAATGAGTGGGGACAAGGTTTGTTGGGTGATCTTTAAGAAATGAGCGGGGACAAGGTTTGTTGTGTGATCTTTAAGAAATGAGCGGGGACAAGGTTTGTTGGGTGATCTTTAAGAAATGAGTGGGGACAAAATTTGTTGGGTGATCTTTAAGAAATGAGTGCGGAAAAGGTTTGTTGGGTGATCTTTAAGAAATGAGTGGGGAAAACGTTTGTTGGGTCATCTTTAAGAAATGAGTGGGGACATGGTTTGTTGGGTGATCTTTAAGAAATGAGTGAATAAAAAGGTTTGTTGGGTGATCTGTAAGAAATGAGTGAAGAAAAAGGTTTGTTGGGTGATCTTTAAGAAATGAGCGAGGACAAAATTTGTTGGGTGATCTTTAAGAAATGAGTGGGGAAAAGATTTGTTGGGTGATCTTTAAGAAATGAGTGGGGAAAAGGTTTGTTGGGTGATCTTTAAGAAATGAGCGGGGGACAAGGTTTGTTGGGTGATCTTTAAGAAATGAGCGGGGGACAAGGTTTGTTTTGTGATCTTTAAGAAATGAGTGGGGAAAAGGTTTGTTGGGTGATCTTTAAGAAATGAGTGGGGAAAAGGTTTGTTGGGTGATCTTTAAGAAATGAGTGGGGAAGGTTGCTGGTTGAAAATGTCTGCGGACGGGCCTGTTGGACAATTTGGTCTTTTTTCTTCTCCAGACAGACAACCTACACGACACTGGATCGTATGATGTCCGAACTGCCCGGCCTGGACAACTACCTGGCCAACCTCACAGACAAGACCTACGGGTTGGTGGCCAATGACATCAGCCAAGCCGAAAACACGCTAAACGCCGGGTATTACCACAGATGGTACCACTACTCGGAGATGGGTGCCATGGGGGACTCGGTGAGTACAAGCTTTCACCACAGCTGGTACCAGTACTTGGAGTTGGGTGCCATGGGGGACTCAGTGAGTACAAGCTTTCACCACAGCTGGTACCAGTACTCGGAGTTGGCTGCCATGGGAGACTTGGTGAGTACAAGCTTTCACCACAGCTGGTACCAGTACTCGGAGGTGGCTGGCATGGGGGACTCGGTGAGTACAAGCTTTCACCACAGCTGATACCAGTACTTGGAGTTGGGTGCCATGGGGGACTCAGTGAGTACAAGCTTTCACCACAGCTGGTACCAGTACTCGGAGTTGGGAGCAATTGGAGACTTGGTGAGCACAAGCTTTCACCACAGCTGGTACCAGTACTCGGAGTTGGCTGGCTTGGGGGACTCGGTGAGTACAAGCTTTCACCACAGCTGGTACCAGTACTCGGAGTTGGCTGGCTTTGGGGACTCGGTGAGTACAAGCTTTCACCACAGCTGGTACCAGTACTCGGAGTTGGGTGCCATGGGGGACTCGGTGAGTACAAGCTTTCACCACAGCTGGTACCAGTACTCGGAGTTGGCTGGCTTGGGGGACTCGGTGAGTACAAGCTTTCACCACAGCTGGTACCACTACTCTGAGTTGGGTTCCATGGGGGACTCGGTGAGTACAAGCTTTCACCACAGCTGGTACCAGTACTCAGAGTTGGCTGGCTTGGGGGACTCGGTGAGTACAAGCTTTCACCACAGCTGGTACCACTACTCTGAGTTGGGTTCCATGGGGGACTCGGTGAGTACAAGCTTTCACCACAGCTGGTACCAGTACTCGGAGTTGGCTGGCTTGGGGGACTCGGTGAGCACAAGCTTTCACCACAGCTGGTGCCAGTACTCGGAGTTTGGTGCCATGGGGGACTCGGTGAGTACAAGCTTTCACCACAGCCGGTACCAGTACTCGGAGTTTGGTGCCATGGGGGACTCGGTGAGTACAAGCTTTCACCACAGCTGGTACCAGTACTCGGAGTTTGGTGCCATGGGGGACTCGGTGAGTGAAAGCTTTCACCACAGCTGGTACCACTACTTGGAGTTTGGTGCCATGGGGGACTCGGTGAGTGCAAGCTTTTACCACAGCTGGTACCCGTACTTGGAGTTGGTTGCCATTGGAGACTTGAATGAGGTGACCGGTATGAGGTCAAGAAATCCTCCCTATAAACCATATATAAATTGAAAATTAAAAAATCAATCGGTGTGAAGGTCGAGTTTAGGTAAGGTTGCCAGGTGTCCACTATTTTTTGGGAGCAGACCTGGCAGCCCTAAGTTTAGGTAATAGTAGAACAAGGTAAGTGGAAGCTAGTTTAGGTAATAGTGGAACAAGGTATGTGGAAGCTTGAACTTGAATAGAAAGACAGAACATTTCGGCCAACAGCCTTTCTCAGCAGACAGGACAAATAAAGAGACTCCAATAACTAGAAACTGGTTCGATCGCCATTGTTATTGTCGGAAGTTGGGTTTTACAAAAAACAAGATTACAGGAAGTTAAAGAATGTATGAATTATTACGGTGAAAAATTAAGGAAAGTAAGGAAAATATATCTTGGAGATATGTAATAAATAAGAAATAGAGGAGCATTAGCAGGAGAGTATTTATTTAAGTAATTCCATACGGGGATGTTGTGCCGAACAGCTGAATTAATTTATTTTAGTGAGTTTAAATCCAATTGAGTGGGCTGCTACTGCTATTCTATCGTATGCTATGAAAGTAGGTTTCCTCTTCAATGACTTTCTCTTGTAGCTGTCCCAACAAATATTGAACACTAAACCAACAGGCGATCTCTGAAATGTAGACAGTGTTGTGCCGGTGCATTTAACGCAGTTCTCTGTGATTCCGTCACTTAGGTGAACCACCGCGGCTTCAACGACGAGAACCTCTGGGTCGCCATGACAACACAGTCCCACATCATGCCGCTGTCCACCAACTACTGCGTACAAGATCAGTGTGTACGGGACACGAGGAGGTGAGTACCATCACATCACCATCATACGCACCATCTTATCCCGGCCTTAGAGGCGAGGGAAGAGGAAGGGGTGAGCCAACACACCCAGGGGGAGTTTTTCCCCTTTTCATTGAATGAGTCATCCTTTTTCGGAAAACTAAAAGCATTTTTAGACCCAAGCATTATTTGACCCAAGCATTATTTGACCCAAGCATTATTTGACCCAAGCATTATTTGACCCAAGCATTTATAGACCCAAAGCATTATTAGACCCAAAGCATTATTTGACTCAAGCATTATTTGACTCAAGCATTATTTGACCCAAGCATTATTTGACCCAAGCATTATTAGACCCAAAGCATTATTAGACCCAAAGCATTATTAGACCCAAAGCATTATTAGACCCAAAGCATTATTTGACTCAAGCATTATTTGACTCAAGCATTATTTGACTCAAGCATTATTTGACTCAAGCATTATTTGACCCAAGCATTATTAGACCCAAAGCATTATTTGACCCAAGCATTATTTGACCGAAGCATTATTTGACCCAAGCATTATTTGACCCAAGCATTATTTGACCCAAGCATGATTTGACCCAAGCATGATTTGACCCAAGCATGATTTGACCCGAGCATTATTTGACCCAAGCACTATTTGACCCAAGCACTATTAGTCCCAAGCATTATTAGTCCCAAGCATTATTAGTCCCAAGCATTATTAGTCCCAAGCATTATTAGTCCCAAGCATTATTAGACCCAAGCATTATTAGTCCCAAGCATTATTAGTCCCAAGCATTATTAGTCCCAAGCATTAGTAGACCCAAGCATTGTTTGGGTGAAGCATAAATAGAATGATTTTCTTACATACAGGGTTTCACCAATGGCATGTCGGTTGTTTATTTCTAACGTGCTATCAATTTTGAAAACTGATAACTTAACTTCCATTATGGTGACATTAAATTTAAGTAAATCAGCCTGCTACTGTTCTAACATCTTTTATCAAGGTTGTATTACATTTTTATGCATGATTTTTCAATTTTCTTTTACCTGTCACTGGCATTTGGACCAAAAAAGATATTTTGATATTTTTCATCCACCATTTTTAGATAGAAAATTAACGGGTTTTTTTCTTTAGCAGTTAAGCTATTTACCGAAACTAAAGACAATTCAGCCTTAACACCAGAATTCGTTGAGAGTTATATCCCTTATCCCGGTCTTGCCCAATTCCCTCGCCTCACCATGTGGGTTTCTTCCAATCTTACAGAGTCACGTTCGCGGTTCCCTTGGAGGTCATCTATGCCACGCCCATCCTCTCCTGGAACCCTTACAACGTGGCCTTCTACCCGGTGAGTCAGGGCTTCTCAAACAATGTAACACTACATGCCTCAAAAGGCAGGCTCTTTCAATTACATTTAAACAAATTTCCTTGCAGAAAATTCCTCGTTGAATCAATTAAGTTAATCTAATTTGAATGGGAATTCTTCAAGATGGGACAAACACAGTTTCCATTGACTGTGTGACTAGAACTGTGGAGTCAGACAATAACACGGCTGTCATGCATGAGTTCTAGCACAAACCCAGACACGAGGGAGGAACAGGCAAAGGATCGAACTTCATGGAGTTCCACTTTGCACACGAGCCCCATGCAACATGAAGTTGGCAGAACAGCGGCTGGAGAGCGCAAGAATCATGCCAGGAAGGCCCGGTCTGACTCTGCTCCCGGAGATGCGCCATCATTCCCCTGCACCTACTGCACAAGAGAATTTCGTGCCAGAATCGGTCTCATTAGCCATCTGCGCACCCACAACCAGCGGTCACGGTCGACTCCCGACTGACCAGCAACATACAACTTTTTGGAGATGTTACAAAGAAACATGTTATGTATGGTCAAATGAAAATGTTTAAAAAAACTTTACACACCTTCTCTTGGACACTATCGGATCCTAGACTCGGGTCACAAAACCTACGTGCGTACCCCATCAGGATGTTCAAGAGAGTTGTGTTGAAACGTTAATGATTTAGAACCGCTCGTGGTCCCAATCAACTTTCACGGACTCGTCGTTATCGGTAAGTCAAAGGGTTAAAGTCTTGGCGGAAGCGACCACGGCGAACAGTTCAACGTGTACCAACTGATGTTAACCCTTCCAGGGCGTGTGTGGGTCTTGATATTGAAGGGAACACCAAACAACTCAGTTCAACACTTTTAAGACGGAAAACAATATGTGCGCTGTGATCATAACAAAATTCCATTTATCTGGAACCATTTAAAGCATTGGTTCTCAACCTTCCTAGTGCCGCGGCCCTTTAATACACTTTCTCGTGTCGTGGCGACCCCCGGCCACACAAATATTTTCGTTGCTTCTTCATAGCTGTAAGGATATGTGTTTTCAGATGGTCTTAGGCGACCCCTGGGAAAGGGTCTCGCGACCCCCAAAGGTGTCGTGACCCACAGTTTGAGAACCACTGATTTAAAGCATCTCATCTGACCTTCTCTTATTTTATCTTATCTAATGGCGTGCATATTTTATCACTGTTACCATTTCCGGTGGTGTGTCATAATGATAGAATTCAGCCGCATCTAATAGTGTGTGTCTTATTTCAGTAATGTTTACCATCAAGCTAGCCGTCCTATCTAGTAGCAAGGGTGTCTCCCTCGGGGCTCCGGTTGACAAGTCTGTGGTGACTTGCCGATTAGGAGGCGTCGACCACCGACGCCCTTGACGTTGCCCGCGGAACAAAACCACCATTGCGTGTCCCGCGTGGGCAGACAAGGTACCTGCCGGAATAAAACGGCTCCTACAGGGCTGCCAACTGTGAAGTTTCCACAGTTTCACAGTTGGAGGTAAAGGCAGAGACAGGGTAGGGATCATGGTTACAAGTTGCCGTTAATGGATATGAGGCGAGAGGTGGAAGCCTCTGGTCGATGATTCTAAGTATGCAGCCGTGAGAAAGTTGCTCCAAGGCAACCGTTTCGTCCCAGCTACTTTGCAAACTAGTTGCGAGTAGAAACCCTCTTATAGGGCGTCTGACGCTTCCCCGGTTCCCCGGGATGGGTTGGGGAAGATGTTAGGACGTAAATTTACCATCCCGACTCCTAGGAAAGTCGGTCGTGTGCACTGCACAGTGTTGGGTTGGGGCAGCCTCCTGCGGAACCCGATCGAGCGGACTCGGGTGGGGGCTGTCCTGGCAAGGGGACATCTCCAAGGTGACCCTTCGCGACCCGATACCCGTGCTTGGGGGGGGACGGGACTTTGGGGAGGGTATAAGGAGCTTTTGCTTGCCGACCCGCTGATGCCATTCCCTGTGATATTTCAGTATCGAGGGTGTGGCTGTCTCAGGGGTGGAATAAAGACCCCTGGGGTGGTTGAAGGCCGGGTGGGTAAGCGGGGTAGGGCGCTGGGGAAGACTTAGTGAGCTTTTGGCTCGATACTTTGCTGATTTTCTTTAGTAAGTTAGTTAGTAGCGAGGATAATCAAATCAGAGTTAAGGATTCTGGGGACATTGTCGTTTCTGAGTGAACTTTGACCATTTGTATAAAATCAAGTGGCATTGACAAAATTGACAAAATATTAATCTGATGAATAAGGGGAAGTTATTCTGGTATTTAAAAAGAAAAGATTGTTTAGCTACCGAAGTATAATGTTAAGCTACCGAAGTCTAATGTTAAGCTACCGAAGTCTAATGTTAAGCTACCGAAGTCTAATGTTACGCTACCGAAGTTCAATGTTACGCTACCGAAGTCTAATGTTAAGCTAATGAGGTCTAATGTTATGTACTAATAGTATTTGCTGATTACTATTTGTTTCTTCGCGTGACAGGCTGACCCTAAGACTGACACATTGGCCCAAAGTGTTACGGCCAATGGCCGAAATGGTGGCTCGACCCCGGGGACTGCTTACAACGGAACTAACCGAGAAAATTACTACAGGTGTGTATTCTAGTCTGCTATGGTATGGTTCGTTGTCTGAGCGCCAGTCTAAGGCAGGGGTCCTCAAAACAGGTTTGGGAACTGCTGGTGTAAAAGAAAGCCAAAAAATGGACGTAAATAAGATGTGTTGTCTGGATACGTGTGTGACGTGGGAAATCCAGATTACATGAATTATCTGTGCAACTAAATGTTTAGAAGAGGCGAGTTACACAGTCAAGACGAGTTGCATAGTCAAGGCGAGTTGCATAGTCAAGGCGAGCTACAGAGTCATGGCGAGTTACACAGTCATGACGAGTTACACAGTCAAGGCGAGTTACACAGTCAAGGCGAGTTATAAAGCCTTTGACTCAAGATCCTACAAGGTGAGTTACAGTCTTTGACTCAAGGTCCTGCAAGGCGAGTTACAGTCTTTGACTCAAGATCCTGCAAGGCGAGTTACAGTCTTTGACTCAAGATCCTGCAAGGCGAGTTACAGTCTTTGACTCAAGATCCTGCAAGGCGAGTTACAGTCTTTGACTCAAGGTCCTGCAAGGCGAATTACAGTCTTTGACTCAAGATCCTGTAAGGCGAGTTACACAGTCTTTGACTCAAAATCCTGCAAGGCGAGTTAGTCTTTGACTCAAGGTCCTGCAAGGTGAGTTAGTCTTTGACTCAAGATCCTGCAAGGCGAGTTACAGTCTTTGACTCAAGATCCTGTGAGGCAAGTTACAGTCTTTGATTCAAGATCCTGCAAGGCGAGTTACAGGCTTTGACTCAAGATCCCACAAGGCGAGTTACAGTCTTTGACTCAAGATCCTGTAAGGCGAGTTACAGTCTTTGACTCAAGATCCTGCAAGGCGAGTTATAGTCTTTGACTCAAGACCCTGCAAGGTGAGTTAGTCTTTGACTCAAGATCATGCAAGGCGAGTTACAGTCTTTGACTCAAGATCCTGTAAGACGAGTTACAGTCTTTGACTCAAGATCCTGCAATGCGAGTTACAGTCTCTGACTCAAGATCCTGCAAGGCGAGTTACAGTCTTTGACTCAAGATCATGCAAGGTGAGTTAGTCTTTGACTCAAGATCCTGCAAGTTGAGTTACAGTCTTTGACTCAAGATCCTGCAAGGCGAGTTAGTCTTTGACTCAAGATCCTGCAGCATGTTTTACATGTTACAACGGGGCGGGGTTATCTGGCTGTTCTGGTGAAAGTATATAAACAAAACTAAACGGAACAATGTATTCGGCCTGACATAAACACCTTGTACGCCGTTAAAGGAATCGTTCATTTCTATCCTCGATATCCCCCCGTCCATGTCTCCCTTCAATACTACAATATTCCCCTCCATATCTCTCTTCGATACTACCCATAGCCCCCATCCATCATGTCTGCCTTTGATACTACCCATAGCCCCCATCCATTATGTCTGCCTTTGATACTACCCATAGCCCCCATCCATCATGTCTCCCTTCCATACTAACCATACCCCCCATCCATCATGTCGTCCTTCGATACTGCCCATAGTCCCCATCCACTATGTCTGCCTTTGATACTACCCATAGCCCCCATCCATCATGTCTCCCTTCCATACTACCCATACCCCCCATCCATCATGTCGTCCTTCGATACTGCCCATAGCCCCCATCCATCATGTCTCCCTTTCATACTACCCATATCCCCCATCCATCATGTCTCCCTTCCATACTACCCATATCCCCCATCCATCATGTCTCCCTTCCATACTACCCATATACCCCCTCCATCATGTCTCCCTTCGATACTACCAATATCCCCCATCCATCATGTCTCCCTCCGATACTATCAATATCCTCCGCCCATCTCTCCCTCCATGCTACCAATATCCTCTTTCCATCTCTCCACTAAGTCTAAACATAGCTCTGTTGTACGTCTCAAGTAAGCCAATGTCGATCTCCCCCCTTCTCTACGTCTCCAATAAGTCAATGACCATCCTCCCTTCTCTACGTCATAAGTAAGAAAATGTCAATCTCCCCCCCCCCTTTCTCTAGTCTCCAGTAAGCCAATTTTCATCCCCCTTCTCTACGTCTCCAGTAAGCCAATGTCCCTCTGTACGTCTCAAGTAAGCGAATGTCCATCTCCCCCACTCCTTTTTCAGTCCATCTCTCCACCCCCCTTCCCCCCTTATCCCACCCCCCCTTATGCCCATCAAGTCTCCCTTGAGAGACCGTTCAGATCGTCGGGGAAATCTCCGGATTGCATATTCGATCTGACCAATCGATACTGATTCAGTGGAATCGGCTCTTAATTAGGGCCAACATTCTAGGGCCAATATTCTTGGGCCAACATTCTAGGGCCAATATTCTTGGGCCAACATTCTAGGGCCAAAATTCGCTCCAAATCAATTTCAGCTTTACAGCTTTACACACTGGACATTTACTCAATGTCCGAAAGATATTCTGTACAGTTGGATCGTTTCATTGTGTGTGTCTGTGTCTCTGGGTCCCGTAATCGACCTCAGCTTTATTGTATTGTATTTTCCCTTAATAATGTAATCGACTCAAATGTAAAGTATTCGTTCAGTAAAAGAAACGGTGTGTCAGGCTTTCCTTCAAGGATCGCTTCCGGAATCGACTATCTCTTAAACCCGCCGCCATGACGTCATAAAGCCAGCAGTAATTGTGTCCAAATGAGGGCGCATATTTTTTGCGGATAAAGCGGAAATGAGACCACTAATGATGTATCTTGATTTTATTACATTTCTTATGGGCTTTGTAGAGTCGAGGATCGTTTTCCACCCAGTGGTGTAGAATAATTTAAGTTCATACTTACAGTCAATGTTTTGAAGGCGCTTCCAGTCTGATCATCTATGCGTACACTGATGGCTGCCGCATCAGAAAACATTTCAAGACCCGGCCGCAAGTACTATTGAATCATCCCAGGCCGTGTTTCTTGAATCCATTTCGCCTTTTAAAAGAAGACAAATGTTGTTCCTTCTTTCTATATTTAGAACACCCGTGGGATTCTACGCCAGCAGCGATGTGGAGGCTGATACCGCGGACACGGCCAAGGGGTCAGTTGGAGTGCTGGACAAACAAGGAATTGTCCGACAAATGGCGGCTTCTGGACCTCGCATCATTACCCCAGACATCCAGGGGGTGGGCACGGTGCGGCTAAGATACCCCATCTTCCCTGTCCACTCCGAGGGCAGCACGGTCGGCAGAGAATTGGTGGTAAATGTATTTATTGGAATCTAACCTTTTGGGGGGGGGGGGGGTTGAGTGGTAAAGGTGCGGCTCCCCAGAGATGATAAAAATAGGTTTAGGGGGGTGGCGGTGTGGCGGGGAGTTGCATCAATTAGCTCCATTTTTAGCTCCATTTTTAGCTCCATTTCAGGTTTGCACCTAGTTGGATTGGTTTGTCGGCGAAGATCGGGTGTTGGTGCATCATCACGTGACATGAGAAGCTGGTGAAGTCCAGCAATGAACGGTGTTGGGTGTAAAGATGAATGGTGTGTATGGGTGTTGAAGCAATGAACAAGGCGGATGTCAATGAAGCGCTTCAAGTTTTTGACAGACATTTTGATAACGTCCACACTGTGACATGAGAGATTTGACATAATGTACACACAGTGGCATGAGAGATTTGACATAACGTGCACACTGTGACATGAGAGATTTGACATAACATGCACACTGTGACATGAGAGATTTGACATAACGGGCACACAGTGACATGAGAGATTTGACATAACGTGCACACAGTGACATGAGAGATTTGACATAACGTGCACACAGTGACATGAGAGATTTGACATTAACGTCCGCACAGCGTTACTATGTCCTTGTGGTAAGATGGGTGCATGTGGGGATCAGCTTCGACGGACACAAGGGAAAATTGTTATTATCATGAATCCTTATTCTCTACCGTATCTAAGGTAGAAGGTGTCACATTTATGTTACCGTATCTAAGGTAGAAGGTGTCACATTTATGTTACCGTATCTAAGGTAGAAGGTGTCACATTTATGTTACCGTATCTAAGGTAGAAGGTGTCACATTTATGTTACCGTATCTAAGGTAGAAGGTGTCACATTTATGTTACCGTATCTAAGGTAGAAGGTGTCACATTTATGTTACCGTATCTAAGGTAGAAGGTGTCACATTTATGTTACCGTATCTAAGGTAGAAGGTGTCACATTTATGTTACCGTATCTAAGGTAGAAGGTGTCACATTTATGTTACCGTATCTAAGGTAGAAGGTGTCACATTTATGTTACCGTATCTAAGGTAGAAGGTGTCACATTTATGTTCTTTTATGTTCTTTTTTTTTAAATTACTTTATTTGTTGGGGTTTTTAATGGCGCTGATGGGAATCACGTTCAGCGTGTCATGCGTGACCAAACAAGTGTTTGTCGGGGTGAGGAGGTGGTGGGCTTAGCATTAATCTTTCATTTTCCAACTCTGGTATCCGGGATGGATTCATTGGATTCTCAATTTAATATTAAAATCCATCCTTAGGTTTTCAAATTGAAATTTTTTCTACCTTTTTTTAAAAAATTATTTTGTTTCTTCTCATTATGTTTCATAGGCATTAAAAGAAATTGTCATGAAGATGACGCAGTATGCACATTTACTGGGTGAAGGTCAAGGAGGTTATCTTCCGAGCAACCCGGATGTTCATTTTATTCTTGCTGAGACCTACCAGTAAGTAAATAGAGAAGAAAAAACTATTTTTTTTAAAAAAAGCTTTTATAGTAACCTTAAGTCATACCTTTTCGGCACTGATTAGCATACCGTAGTAGGACGAGGTCTTATCGAGACGCTTTACCAAGTTGGCAAGCTCTTCTAACCAGTGCCGACAAAAATGATGACAAATGAAACCACAGGCATCACCACTGAAATTTAAGGTCGGGGAGGACAGACTAGAGACTGTAGGCCGCTTCAAATACCTAGGAGCAATAGTCTCAGAAGAAGGCTCCAAGCCCGAACTGATGTCCAGGATTGCGCAGACTACAACAGCACTAAAGAGGCTCAAGAAAATATGGAATTACAAGAATATAGCCCCCAGCACCAAAATCAGGCTGATGCGCTCATTAGTCCTCTCAATTTTCCTGTATGCCTGCGAATCCTGGACATTAACAGCCGATCTTGAAAGGAAAATAAAGGCGATGGGGATGAGATGCTTCAGAAGCATTTTTGGCATCTTCTATAGCAGTGGTTCTCAACCTTCCTAATGCCGCGACCTATAATACAGTTTCTCGTGTCGTAACGCCCCCCAGCCACACAATTATTTTCGTTGCTTCTTCATAGCTCTAAGGATAATATGTGTTTTCAGATGTCTTAGGCGACCCCTGAGAAAGGGTCTCGCGATCCCCAAAGGGGTCGCGACAAACAGGTTGAGAACCGCTGTGCTATAGGGACCATATCTCCAATGACACAGTGAAAGAAAGGGTTCGCCAGGCAATTGGAGTACGATGACCTACTGGTGACTGTGAAAAAACGCAAACTACAATGGCACGGCCACGTAACAAGGAAACAAGGGCTTGCCAAAGAAATATTGCAGGGCACCACAAGAGAAGGGAGAAGAGGAAGACAAAGAAAAAGATGGGAGGATAACATCAAAGAGTGGACAGGACTAACACTGGGCGATGCTGTGCGTAGTGCAGAAGACAGAGACGAATGGAGGAGGATAGTTCACATGTCATCTGTGGCGCCCCAACGGTCCAAGGACTAAGGGACATGATGATGATGATGAAGTCATACCTTAAGTCGCACGAAGTCTCCAATTCTTTGCAACTTATCTAATCAAATATACATGACCTCACATATTACATAGCATTAATTCATGTGTCAAGCAATGTTTGAAATAGTTTTCAACATCCATTCGACTCATTGTTTTTCAAGTGATTTATGTTGACACACTGGTGTGTCTGTGTCGCAAGTTTTAAAATTAATTAGTGGGGACTGGGGATTCAAATGTGGGAGCTGGATGTTTTACAGCGCGCGTGCACGCACACAGAGAGCAAAAGTGTGTGCGGGGAGGGGGAGAGGGAGGGGTGGGAAGAAAGAATCAAAGAGAGAGAGAGAGAAAAGAAAGACACAGAGGGAGAGTAAAAATTATTATAAAAAAGAGAGGAAAAAAGAAAGACGCGGAGGGAGGGAGGGAGGGGGAGAGAGAGGGAGTGGGTGGGGAGAGAGAGGGAGTAGGTGGGGAGAGAGAGGAAGTGGGTGGGGAGAGGCTGTTGCCGTTCTAGGAGGGGGAGAGAGAGGGTGTGGGTGGGTAGGGAGTGGGTGGGGAGAGAGAGGGAGTAGGTGGGGAGAGAGAGGAAGTGGGTGGGGAGAGACTGTTGCCGTTCTAGGAGGGGGAGAGAGAGGGTGTGGGTGGGGAGAGACTGTTGCCGTTCTAGATAATGGGTGGCCAAGATCGTGAAGAAGCGAGTCCGATTCAAACCGCCACGCCCTCCCCCTCCCCTCTCCATGCCCACCTCCCCCTCCCAACTCCACGCCCACCTCTAAATCCACTTACAAACATCAAGATTCAAGGCCGTTCAATACCGGGTTCCAAAGATGGAGGCGGTGACATCTGGTCGGTTGATGGTGGTTAGTGGAGTCAAACCTGGGCATCCGACTGTGATGATTTGGAATACGGTGGTGGGGGGAGGGGAATGTGTGGCGGTGAGATGTGTTCTTTGATGTCCTTGTAGCAGAAGTCAAGACAGTGGTGCTGCTGGTGCTGCTGTTGGTGGTTGTTCTGTTCAAAGTCTTCGATTTCACGATCAGTGGTTGCTGGAGTGGACAAAAGAAACTGTCGGTGGAGGGGGGGCAACTGGTGTGGAGGGGCAACTGGTGTGGAGGGGCAACTGTCGGTGGAGGGGGGGCAACTGGTGTGGAGGGGGTGATGTGAGAGGTCGAGAATCTTGTCAAGTGTTACCCGTAGTAGTTTGAACCATACTCTTTACAGCCGAACCCGCTTATCTCGACCTCGGATTTCTCACCAACCCTGTTATGTCGACGTATTTTGAAGTGGAACCGCCAAATTCTTCCTTTGTCTTGGAATTATCTCCTCGGGTATGTCCATTCTCTTATGTCGCCGAATCATGATATCTCGAGCACAAAAGGCGCCAAATTCGCCACTTAACATCGGTTATCTCGATCCCCATGACCCATCGCCGGCTTTTAAAAATTATATACAACAGAAACGTGCCTAACTCCAACTGTAGTAATTGAAATGAAATGACAATATCGTTGTCTACGCAATTAACTTGACGCAGCAAGAAGCGAAGAGCGATAGGCTTGCAATCAAAAGAGAGAAGCGAGGTCGCAGTACCTGTTCTATTTATAGCCAACCCGTTTGACGCTTATAATGCTTAATAGGTTTTCACACGTTCTTACATGGTGATTTTTGTTTTTAAACCCCTGAATCTGTATTTGAATAAACTGAACTGGCGAATCCGGAGCGAGAGAAAATAAAAACTCGCGAATCCGGAGCTGAAAATATTTAGCCTCTCGAATCCGGAATTCCGGGATAATCCGGAAAAGTGGCACTCCATATATGCCTTGTGTTATTAGCAAACATGTGTGTACATTTGTGTACACGTGTGTGTACATTTGTGTAGCACATGTGCGTAGCATGCCGACATGTGTGTACATTTGTGTAGCATGCCGACATGTGTGTACATTTGTGTAGCATGCCGACATGTGTGTACATTTGTGTAGCATGCCGATCGCAACATCTCAACAATCGCGGCAACGCTGTTATGTAAAAAAATCCAAAGACATGCGCACATCATGTACATTCTTATTTCTAAACGCACATCATGTACATTCTTATTTCTAAACGCACATCATGTACATTCTTATTTCTAAACGCACATCATGTACATTCTTATTTCTAAACGCACATCATGTACATTCTTATTTCTAAACGCACATCATGTACATTCTTATTTCTAAACGCACATCATGTACATTCTTATTTCTAAACGCACATCATGTACATTCTCATTTATAAACGCACATCATGTACATTTTTATTTATAAACGCACATCATGTACATTCTTATTTATAAACGCATATCATGTACATTCTTATTTATAAACCCACATCATGTACAGTTTTATTTATAAATGCACATCATGTACATTTTTATTTATAAACACACATCATGTACATTCTTATTTATAAGCGCACATCATGTACACTAAGAAATTTCAAGCATATATTTCCGCCATATCGGTTTTCGTTTATCTCGATTATCGGTTATCTCGACGTTTTTTTTGCAAACCCAGAGGCCGTCGACATAATCGAGTTCTACTGTGTATGGGGGACTGCTTTCAGGCCGCGTGCTGTAAATAAATAATGGGAAAAGATGTGTTTAGGCTTGGAGACAAATGACACGACAATCGAAGGAACGTTTCGGCCAGACGCCTGCTTCAGCCGACAGTACAGTAACCGATCAATTTATATTAAAAAATAAAACGCAAGTCTAATTGTTCTGCCTGCTGAAGAAGGCGTTGAGTCTAAATGCTCTGCCTGCTGAAGAAGGCGTTGAGTCTAAATGCTCTGCCTGCTGAAGAAGGCGTTGAGTCTATATGTTCTGCCTGCTGAAGAAGGCGTTGAGTCTAAATGCTCTGCCTGCTGAAGAAGGCGTTGAGTCTAAATGCTCTGCCTGCTGAAGAAGGCGTTGAGTCTAAATGCTCTGCCTGCTGAAGAAGGCGTTGAGTCTAAATGCTCTGCCTGCTGAAGAAGGCGTTGAGTCTAAATGCTCTGCCTGCTGAAGAAGGCGTTGAGTCTAAATGCTCTGCCTAAACAAATCTTGTTCAAGAGTTTAGTTGTTAGTTTTACCACATGTATACGCATGGGCGCCCGCAGAAAGCTTTCTAGGGGAGGGGGGGGCAAAAAAATCCATTAACTTTCCAGCGGGGGGGGGGNGGGGGGGGGGGGGGATTTTTTAGTAATGTTTTAATATAGAGATAATTTACTGTAACGTATTTGTATGGTGAACGAGCGGACAGGACATCAGCTTAATTACTTTCTCTTTATTTTCTCTTTACTTTAATACATTTTTTCTCTATTTTTGTCTAATTTTTTTTTTATCCAATCAATCCAGGGGGGGGGGGGCAAATGCCCCCTTGCCCCTACCTGCGGGCGCCCATGTGTCCACACCAAAAGATCGTTTGATTTCACGTTACATGCTGCCGTTGAGCTCCAACTGTAACCAGTTTATGGCAGATACAGTTTGTTTTTTTAATTATTAAGCTTGCAACGGATGCCCTTCTCTTTCTCTCAGGGGGTGTGTGTGTGGGGGGGGGGTCTGATATACCTTTAATATGTTTTTTTTAAAAGGCTTGGGCTTAATTCCATTCTCCCCTCCCCCCTCCCCAAGTCACGTCACACCGCCTAAGATTTGCCCACGGTACGTTTGTTGCATAGAGTCATAGAGTATATAAGTTATAAATAGAATCTAGTTTCTTAACTGTCCTAATCGACACGGCCGCACAAGCCAATTTTTTGTTAATCTCCTGATTTATATCTTTAGTATCAGAAGTTTATTTGATTCCATTAAACAGTTCACTTCAAAAAAAAAATTATGCATGAAGTCGGCAACAGGTTACGTCAATGAAGAGAAAAGAAAGGCAAAAATTGATTGAAATTGTTAGCCAGCGCCACCAGATGATCAAGTCATATTTATATTGGCGTATTTAAGTTTTCTATATGGTTAGCGGAAATTTGATCGAAAGAAATTTTGTCGACGGTAAATTGATCGAAGGAAATTTGATCGAACGGAAATTAGGTCGAATCTATTTTTCAGTTCACACGTTCAAATGTTCTTAAAATTTCCTTTTGACCGCACTACACTATACTATGTAGACCACACTACACTATACTATGTAGTAAAACAAAATTATGCGCCCAAAAAGAAATCTGAAGCAAAATTCTAATGTAAAAACTGAAAAAAAATATTCGACTTCGACCAAATTTCTCCATTGATGCCCGTCGCCCTCGCGCCTCCTATTGTTGTCCCCCCCCCCCCCAAACAAGTTCCCCCCCTTATACAATGTAGTAAAACAAAATTAAGCGCCAAAAAAAAAAACTGAAGCAAAATTCTAATGTAAAAACTGAAAAAAAATATTCGACTTCGACCAAATTTCTCCATTGATGCCCGTCGCCCTCGCGCCTCCTATTGTTGTCCCCCCCCCCCCCAAACAAGTTACTCCGCACATTTTGAGGGGTTCTCAAATTCTGTTTCAGAAACCCGCCAGGACTTCATTCCCACGACCTCGTGCTGACAGGGGCGGAGAACGCCGCGGTCCTGGCGGGGAACGACACCCTGGTGGTGACGTCACTCGCCCTCGGCCACACGCACGAGCTGAAGGTGCACTTTGACAAAACGCTCAGCGCCTACGTGTACGTCACCTGTGACGGCATGGCCAGCTGCTGGGACGGACACGCGCGACGTCTCGTGCTGGACGAGTGAGAACTCACGTGACCGACCCTGACCTTGGGTCGAGAGGAAACCTATTGCATTTGATGATTACGACCTTTGAAACTTGGCCACATGTGCATAGTCTTGTTTGTCTAAGATATATTTAATCATGTGTCATGTCTATTTATTTGTACCATTTTTTTACAGTAATAATAAAATACATACATCGAGTCATCTGTCACTTGTGCTCCTCGTAACAGAAAGAAAGGGGTTTTAAAATGTAGTACAGTGTATGTGCAAACTTGATTCAAAAGACATAGAACAATGTATGTGGTAACTTGATTCAAAAGACATAGAACAATGTATGTGGTAACTTGATTCAAAAGACGTAGAACAATGTATGTGGTAACTTGATTCAAAAGACATAGAACAATGTATGTGCAAGCTTGAATCAAAAGACATAGAACAATGTATGTGCAAGCTTGAATCAAAAGACATAGAACAATGTATGTGGTAACTTGATTCAAAAGACATAGAACAATGTATGTGCAAACTTGAATCAAAAGACATAGAACAATGTATGTGCAAACTTGAATCAAAAGACATAGAACAATGTATGTGCAAGCTTGATTCAAAAGACATAGAACAATGTATGTGGTAACTTGATTCAAAAGACATAGAACAATGTATGTGGTAACTTGATTCAAAAGACATAGAACAATGTATGTGGTAACTTGATTCAAAAGACATAGAACAATGTATGTGCAAGCTTGAATCAAAAGACATAGAACAATGTATGTGGTAACTTGATTCAAAAGACATAGAACAATGTATGTGCAAACTTGAATCAAAAGACATAGAACAATGTATGTGCAAACTTGAATCAAAAGACATAGAACAATATATGTGCAAGCTTGATTCAAAAGACATAGAACAATGTATGTGCAAACTTGATTCAAAAGACATAGAACAATGTATGTGCAAGCTTGAATCAAAAGACATAGAACAATGTATGTGCAAGCTTGATTCAAAAGACGTAGAACAATGTATGTGCAAACTTGATTCAAAAGACATAGAACAATGTATGTGCAAGCTTGAATCAAAAGACATAGAATAATGTATGTGCAAACTTGATTCAAAAGACATAGAACAATGTATGTGGTAACTTGATTCAAAAGACGTAGAACAATGTATGTGCAAACTTGATTCAAAAGACATAGCATAACGATATATGTGCGAACTAGAATCAAAAGACATAGTAAAACAATGTATGTGGTAACTTGAATTTTAAAAAATTAGAACAATGTAATGCGGAAGCTTAAAACAAAATACATGACACAAGACAAGAGCGTTTCGGCCAAGAGCCTTCTTCAGCGGATAGGACAAATGAAAATATGACAAGAAATAGAAACGTGTTAAAAAGTCATGTGATCGCCATTGTTGTTATTGCCGGAAGTTGGACTGGCCAGAACCAAGACTACTTCCGTATTATTACTTTAAAAATAGGATCATGACGGGAAAACAAATTGGAGATGTATAAACTAGAAGAAATAAGAAAAGAAATCCAGCGAAACTGGAGCTCATTAGTAGGAGAGTAATTGGTTGAATCCATTATGATGAGAACTTGTTAGATAGGGGTAATGAAATGATGCAGCAGTCGAGGCTTTCTGGTTTAGCCCATTGAAAGCGATATGGGGAAGAATGTCGATGTTGATGCAATGGTTGGTAGAGATGCATCTTTGAAGACCAGGACGGATGTGAAAATTTTAATGTTTCAATTTAAAAAAAATTAAGTTGTTGCAATTTTTCAAATGGTGTTAGATGAAATTCTAGTTTTCTTTCTATTGCTAGTGTTGCTTTAGGACTTAATTTAACTCTCTAAGCGGCAATGTACGATCTGATTTAGAATTACCCTGGGCGGGTCGGGGGTTGGGGTGGAGCAAGGGCTGAGGAGGAATCGGGAAAGGGGTGGGGGGGCGACACCTTGAGATAGCTTCAGCGGGTGAGACCAACCCTAGTGACGTATCTGTTTAACATAATACATCTGCATCACGCCCAAGCCGAAATCCTGAGGATCGTGGTTTGAAGTAAAGCATTGCGCCACAAAGGTTAGTCCTTGAAGTGCGAGGCCTCAGTGCACAAGGTTTGCTGATCAGCAGGAATCAACAATTCAATCTACAATGGGATCGACTTTCTCTGCAACCAGCAATTTAACTACTCGGCACAGAAATTAAGGACTCATTTTTTATCGAATAAAAGAGCATCGCAGATCCCCAGATTATACGCATGCGTGAACGGAAATGGGAAAAAAACAGTAGCGTGTGGCGTGCGCACATGCGGGAAATTGTTGGAGGGATTTCGTTTCAATGCTATGAAGAAATTGGGAAATGATTATAAAAATTGAATTGTAATGAAAAAAAAAAATTATTGAGTTAAAAGTTCAATCCTAAACCTTAAAGTCTCTCCCCCTCCCCCCCCCGCCCGACCCCTCCATCCACATTTTAGGAATCACTGGCGTAGCCGACAAATGAATCCTTAACATCACATGCAGGGAAACCTAATAACGCATACAAAGCAAAAGAGTGGTCTTGGACTAAATATCACTGCTACTAGCGCGCCATCTAGCGAGTTCACTTTTGAAAACACAGAGCCACAGAATGACGAGCGTTACAAGATTCGTGTAGCGGGTATTTTGACACACTTACAGCCTTCGAAAATAATTATAAAACGTGGATTTCACGGATTTATTAGGCGATGGATAGCTTTAGTGGATATATAAATATGCTAATTATGGACTGCCAGAATATAAAGACAATTATTTCAGGACTTTTGAACAAATGCAGGCCTACATACTTTCTGTCCAAAAAGTTTCAAAGCTTGTAAAGATAGCATAAAAAAATGTTCAGACACTACTGTCGGGAACTTGGAATTCTCCCTCTCCCTCTCTCTCTCTCTCTCTCTCCCTCTTCCTCTCCCTCTCTCTCTCTCTCTCTCTCTCCCTCTCCCTCTTTTTCTTCTCTTATAACGTCATACATAATCTCTTGTTTCGCGCTATGTTCAGACACTCCTGTCGGGAACTTGGAATTCTCCCTCTCCCTCTCTCTCTCTCTCTCTCTCCCTCTTCCTCTCCCTCTCTCTCTCTCTCTCTCTCTCCCTCTCCCTCGTTTAATTCACTAATAAGGTCGTACATAAAGGCGATTTTGGCGCCCTCCTGCTGTTGGCACGCGGGCCAAGTGCCCCCCACCCCTTTTGCACGGCCTTGGTTATATGTACAGTAATGTACGTGGTAATCGATGTTTTTAGGGCTCAGATCGTCGTAAACAAAGAACTTCGTCTTGTGTACACGGCTATCAGATCGTCATAAACAAAGCACTTCGTCTTGTGTACGCTACTAACCCCTCTAATGAACATGACTCGATAAGCCTAGCGTAAGCAGTGGCGTAGCTAAAGCTGCTAGTGCGCACCGGGGTGTGCCAATATAATTGCCGCCCCGCCTGCACGAAATAGCTCCGTAGTTTATCGAAAATGCCAGCCTTATTATTTATACAACCACCCCCCCCCACCCTTTTTCTTTCGTACGCTAGTATGTGTAAGTGTAAGTTACATATAAGCCATTTTCAATGTCCAATGTGTATACTGCAAGAGTTCATTTTGTCGCTGAGCAGAACAGAAGGTCAGAAGTTGAAGCTCTTGTGTCAATGATATGAATTATAACAAGTCTTAACCTTTGCTTCATCAATGGATCAAATCGACAGGTAATGTTACAGGGGTTCTAGTGGCACGACTACTGAGACATTTGTTAGGGGTTCTAGTGGCACGACTACTGAGGCATTTGTTAGGGGTTCTAGTGGCACGAATAATGAAACATTGGTAAGAGGGGATCGAGTTCGTTATTTAAGCGGTGCTCGACTCCACGGGACTTCAGCATTCACTGACACTGCTTAAACCAGGAGAGAGTTCTCAGAGAGTCTCAATGACTGCGACTGGCTATAGCCAGGAGAGACGCTCTCAGAGAGTCTCAATGACACTACGGTTTTAACACCAACGAGAACAACGCTAAACTACTGGCAAATCACAGACCATGTGACCATCAATGGGGAAGGGTTTGACTTTCTCCAATTCATGAGCGATTTGTTACGATGGTCTCTTGACTTCCAGTGTTTGGTGGGGTCACGGAGTGCACCGGTGGCGGGCGGAGCCGTTACGTAATGTGGTGAGAAGGACCGGTTGTCAAAGGACCGGGTGTCAAAGGACCGGTTTTCAAAGGATCAGGTGTTAAAGGGCCGGTTGCCAAAGGACTGGGTGTCAAAGGACCGGTTGTCAAAGGACCGGGTGTCAAAGGACCGGGTGTCAAAGGAACGGGTGTCAAAGGACCGGGTGTCAAAGGGCCGGGTGTCAAAGGGCCGGGGGTCAAAGGACCGGGTGTCAAAGGACCGGGTGTCAAAGGACCGGGTGTCAAAGGACCGGGTGTCAAAGGACCGGTTGTCAAAGGACCGGTGGTCAAAGGACCTGTTGTCAAAGGACCGGTTGTCAAAGGACCGGTGGTCAAAGGACCGGGTGTCAAAGGGCCGGGTGTCAAAGCGAAGGGTGTCAAAGTACCGGGTGTCAAAGGACCCGTTGCCAAAGGGCCGGGGGTCAAAGGAACGGGTGTCAAATGGCCGGGTGTCAAAGGGCCGGGTGTCAAAGCGAAGGGTGTCAAAGTACCGGGTGTCAAAGGACCAGGTGCCAAAGGGCCCGATCAAAGGACCGGGTGTCAAAAGTCCGGGTGTCAAAGGCCCGGGTGTCAAAGAGCCGAGTGTCAAAGGAACGGGTGTCAAAGGATTTGAGGTAACAAATTTGTGAGGGGTTGGTGAGGGGTTGGTAGGGATG